CTTCGCTCGGGACGAATGAAAACCGGCAGTCTAGAAGCGAGGAGAACGGGGCCTACTCCGGAACCACGGCCTCCGAAGCGTGGGGACTGGAGGAGGAAGCCTGTGGTCCCTGGAGCGCGGGCCGAAGTGAGAACCACAAGGAGGGGACGAGGGAGGGCATTCGGCCTGACTAGGAGTACGAAGGCGGGGTCCCAGGCCAGAGTGGCCCGGTGCCCGGTGGGCCGAGGTTAGGGGTGACAGGCCCGTGTGCCGGCTAAATCCTCCTCGCTGCTTACCCGGAGCCTCACACTTACCAAGATCCGCTTGAAGAGCGCGTTCTCCTTGGGCGGGAGGCTCACGGCCGGCATCGTTCCGGCTCCTCCCGCTGCTCCCGCCACCGCCCGGCTCGGTCAGTCCGTTTGTCCGACCGCCGCCGCCGCCGTCGTTCCCCGGCTGCTTCAGCCTTGAGTGCCCCGATCCACCGCCGCCACCAGGCTTCGAGTGTCACCGCGTCACCCAACCCCGACACCCCCTTCCCCTCGTTGTCTTTTTTCTTATCTCACTTAACGTTGCCGCCGCCTCCCCCCCCACGGGTCTCCGTCGGCGGTTCACGTGGTAACTGAACAGACCGACAGAGGCAGCCAAAATGGCGGACGCGGAGGGCTTTCCCACCCGGGTCACACCTCCTAGCACGCAGGCGCGATGACCTCCTTTCCCCACCTCCTCTGTCCCGGAGCTTGCTGGGAAACCTGGAGGCCGGCTGGCTCGCGGAGGCGGCGAGGGTCGCGGCCGAGCCCGCCCATCTTTTGGGGGCGGTGTCTGGGAGGCGTCCGCGGAGTGAGGGGAGAGTGGCCAACTGCGGTTTTGACCGCCTATGCATCAAAAATAGCCTTTCTATGCCTTGCTAGATTGGCTTTTCGTCCATTGGGTACTCTCTCCCAGTCTGTATAATCATAGTTTGAGTCTGAAGTGCTTAAATGCAGGTGTCCAAAAGCGCTGTTTGTGCCTAATTAAGCAGCAGAGGCAGAGGGGAAATGAAGGCTTCACCCCAGTGGGGACTTGTAAACAGATATGGAGAGGATGGGGCTTAATGGAGTCTGAAAAGCGTGAAATAGTTAACCAATTAAATGGATCTAGCTGGGCTATCGGTGATTTAGTTTATTACTTGAAGGCCTGGAAAAGTAGTCAGCCAGATCCGAAGTGCCATGTTTGCACTGTCAGAGAAGCATCTGAAGGTTAAAGTGCGTGTTTTTATTTTATCACTGAGTTCACACAATGCAGGATTGAGGACTGTATGAGTCACCTTGGGGTAGTGGAGAATTCAAGGTCACTGACTCCCCGACACTAGAAATCTTCACATCTTAGGAAGCCGAAGAGTATCTGGCAAGAATACTAGAAAACTGCTTCAGGAAACAAGGTCAGACTGGATATCGAATAGTGCCTCTTCCAAGTCATTTCATTAGCAATCGACAGTAAAGCCATTTAAAATGTGGCATTCTATTGATGACTACAAATTTTCACATCATATGAGCTATTTTTACCCTTGATTGTTTTTGATTCTCTCTCCAGATCCTGAATCCGATCAGTAGTAGCATTCTTTGCATCATGAATCATTAAATAATAAGTGCAGTAGCTTTGCTCTTTTAATCATATTTAAAGAGGTTTTTGGGGTGTTTCTGTTTTTGTTTTTTTGTGTGTGTGTGTTTTTTGTTTTGTTTTGTTTTTACCGTTTTCAGCTTGCTCTTCTTTAATCCTCTATGGAAAGTGTGAGTTGAGTAAGATGTTTCCCAGTGTAAAAATCTGAGACTAATGCGTGGGTTTTCTAGCTGCTATCTCGAATGCTCTCTTTTTGCCTTGATCATAAATAAGGTTTTAACAGTCAAATCCTGGAATTTCCTCAAATTCTGTGATCTATCTTCGAAAGTTTCATTCAGAAAAGTGTATCTACCAGAAACCGTGTGTGAGTTTTGAAATACGGCCAGTTTTTTTTTACTTTAACTTTTTTTAAAAAATAAGATAAAATTCAGAATTCATAAAAACGGTTGTTATTTAGTGATAACCTTCCAACTTCACTGTCCCCAACAGGTCTTTCAACTCTCTAAACTACTAAAAGGTAGAAAAATTCTCCAATTTAAGGTGATAATTTTAGCTTAGCTACTAACTTGGGTTTCCAAATCTCTAGCTTTATATCCAAAAGTCCTAGAGCAATATTATTTCCTATGGTTTTCTAAATTTCTCCTGTAAATAATAGTCTATTTTCACCTTGGGGGAAGAAAATTTCTAGTCTTTGAAACGAACAATAGTTTCCACCAGAAGATGACTAAATGAATAGATGAGCCAGCAAACAATTTGGCAAATATTACGTTCTTTTTGGCTGGTAACAAACAAATAGCAATTTTTATGACTCAGTGAATATACTGATTCAACATTTATTTGAGTCATATCCTAGTTAAAATGCACCTACAGATAGCAGTTGGACCACACAGTCAGTGATTTGATAACCTGAACTCAACAATAAAATATCTGGGAGGATAGATCACCACTATTTGACAAATAGAAATCCCATTTAACTGATTATGCTTTGAATGACAGCTATGCAGGGAGTTAACATATCCAAGGCCAGATGATGATAATGATGATGATGATGATGGTGGTGGTGGTGGTGGTGGTTAGCTTATTTATCTTACCCTCCATGTATTTGCATATCACTATTGTGATAAATTAACCATAAATAAATAAATAACTTTGCAAACTTTAATTCTACAAAAGGGATATGTAGAATAAAATTCCTCCACCTTCATGTATGTAAGATGTTCTCTGTTGACACTTTTACATCTTTACGCATTTGAATTTTATAGAAATAAACATAAAAGAAATCTATTTGCCACCACACTTACAAAATGCTAACATTTTGTGATTGCTTCTTTATTTTTTTAATGAAAACTTGCAGATAAATCCATCCCTCTCCAGATCCTGAATTTGATGTGTAGGATTCTCATGCATCATAAATCAATAAACATGTAGGAACTACTTTTACACTTTATACTGTTTTCAACTCTCACTCTTCTTTAACCCTCCCTGGGACATGTGACTTGAGTAAGACATTTCCCAGTGGAAAAATCTGGGAATAAAATTTGGTTTTCTAGCTGCTAATTCAAATCCTTCCCCACTTTGCTTGGGTCGTAAATTAGGTTTTAGCAGTCAAATTCAGGAGATGCTTAAATGAATGTCATGTAGCAACTTCCACCAAAATATCATAGCTATTAGCTCCTGGCTGGAATTGCTTCATCAGGATTCTCTTCAAGATGGAGTTTCATCTACAGCTGCCTACTCCAAGTGTAGGGTTCCATCAGCTCTAAAATGCTGAGAGAAATGTGCTTATACTTCATCACTTTCCCAAAATATACACTAGTAAAAGGATACAGAGGGGCAAAAGAACAAAACAGCCTTTTCCAACAGCAGTATTGAAATTAGTAACTTTCCTACTGGCTCTGTATGCTCTGACTAAATGTGGCTTCTGTTCCAACTTGCTGGATACTAGCAAAAGCTGTGTCAGGACAAGCTTCCAAGGGATGGTGTAGAAAGGATATACAACTGACAGGTTGCTGAGTGGACAAGAAGCCAAGAAGCTGAGAACCAGCAACTGACTCAGCATGTTAGTTGGGTGCTTTGCTTACTTGAGCATGCATCCAGAAGGCTCAAACTAGGTTACAAACTATAAAGTGACTTACAGTTTAGCAATCTATTTAACCATCAGTTGCATGTAGAAGTGAACCAGAAAACATAGTACAATTATTTTACTCTTTGGTCAGTAACTTTTGGTTGAACATTTTTTTTCAATAACATTGCTACAGAAAATATAGAAGGAAAAAGAGATTTGCTAATACTTATTTTACTCTTAAAATGAACCTAAATAGCATTAGGTTTAAAGGATTAAAGTATAAAAATATATTACCTCTTTTACCTGTATCTATTTTTACAGCCTTTAGACATCAGATTGAATTGAGAATTAAATACACAAAAAATTTCTCAAATGTGAAAGATAAAACCTGTTGGTCAGTACAATAAGTATCAAAGAGATAGGCGAAAACAAGTTGTTTGCAACTACCAGACACGTCCCAAGGTTTCCAGCGACCCTGTAGGAAAGGTTTTCCGTTACCGATATAAAACTGAGGAATAGAAAGGTTAAATAATTTGCCTAAGAATCATATAGTTAAAAAGAGGTGAGTAGGAATGGCGCTTAGAACTTGGTACTTAGAGACTGCTCTGGAGCTCATGGCCCCAGGGGACTGTCTAAGCCTGTTATGTGGGCTGATGAAGGTCACTAGGTCTGGAGTCGGAAGACCTCAATCCAAGTCGCAACATCTCCGTCTATGTGATCTTGAGCCATTCGGGGCACTTCTGAAATACGAGGATTCTCTTTTCTTCATGGGGTTGTGAGGCTTTACTATGCTAGTGCGTATAAACAGACTTACTTTGGAAGCTGTAGGAGGGCTTTTCAAATACAAGGTATGTGTCAACTTTAATGAATAGCTTGTCTTCTTTGAGCTTCATCTATAAATTAAGAATAATAAGCGCAGCATGCCATGCGGTTGTAGTGAAGGTGAAATGAGACAGTGCATGTAAATTATCTGGTGCTTTAATGCACAGTCCCTGGAATACAAAATTCAGTCAAAATGCTAGTATTCAACACGACACTTCAGTTTTCCCGCTCACGCAGGAAGATTTTGGTAAATCTCTCTGACTGTCCCTAGGGTAGGGATCTGAAATAAACCTCTCAGAGTACAGAGATGTGGCTAAACAAATCATTTTCCCCCCTTTTAATCATCACCTTCCTAACCCCACTTTTGCACACTGAGGGCTGGGACCAGGGGAGCTAGTGTACTCGATGGTAACTGCGATTCGTGAAGTTAACACCCCCACCCAGCGCAGCCTTAGAACCTGGAGTTCCGCAACTCCGCCCGCCAGGGGGCGCTCGGCCCGGCGCCAACCCCTGGAGCGGCCGGGCTGTGGGAGGCGGAGCCCTGCCCAGCAAGATGGCGCTGTCCGCGTTGTTGCGGTCCTTCCGAAGCTGCTGGCCCCGGTCAGGCTCCAGAACGGCTGTAAGTGTCCCTCCTTGAGCAGGCTGTCCCGACCTTCCATCCTGCCGCTCCCAGGGCGAAGCTAGCCCGCGGGGGCAGGAGGCGGCTCGCGGACCGGGCTCGTCCTGCAGTGACCTTCGGCGGCCCGCGGCCCGGAGCCTACGCCCGCCTCCACCCCTGAGTCTCGACTCCGCATCACCCGCTGTCCATCCTTCTTCCAGTGCCACCCGACCCCTCTTGGTCTCTGCGAATGGACTTTGATTCCTGCAGATGCCGGGGCGATTGCTATCCGCCCACTCCCAAGTTGTCTGAGGGTCCGCCAAAGCCACAATATGAGGCTTTGAAGGTGTCTTGGACGAAAGGGGCCACCGATCTGGCCCTGACGGTGGCCCTGGTTGAGTTACTTGACCTCTCTGAACCTCTCTTTCCGTGGCTGTTTAAAATGAGGAAGTCGAAGGGGGAATTAAATGCGGTAATACACGTGTAAATGTCAGCTTTATTACTACAAGGCGATAAGTTACAGATTTACAGCCTCTTTCTGTCCGCTTTCAGCTCCATCGAGGTCAAAGTTCTACATTCGGGAACCGCCACATGGCAAACCTGACTGGCTGAAAGTTGGACTGACCTTGGGCACCTCGGGTTTCTTGTGGATCTATGTAAGTATTTACTCCCTATGTCGATTCAACACAGTGGAGAGGACAAATATCAATGTGAGATGGAGTATTGCTGAGCAAATCTCCCATACAATAGGATATTCTTGTAACTACTAATTATATATTTCTCTGTGGGGAAAATCCCAAGGACTAAAACATGTTAAGATTTCAGGGGCATCAAGAAAATGTGGGGGGAAGGTATAGCTCAAGCGGTAGAGTGCATGCACATGCACGAGGTCCTGGGTTCAGTCCCCAGTACGTCCTCTAAAAATAAACCTAATTACCCTCCCACCAAAAAAAAAAAAAAAAATTAAACAATAAATTAAATATTAAATAAATAAAAATTTTTAAAAAAGAAAATATGTTGAGGCTGAAAATTATCGTTGCTTTGCATGGTTTTGTCATGAATGGAAGTTTTACTACATATTAATTATCCTTTATTTTATTTCTTAAAAAGGATGGAGGCAGGTTGGGGGTTTATGAAGGCACTTTTTTCAGATGCCATAGGGACAAACCATAAATGAACAGCTATATAAATTAAATCCCATTAGGCTTACAAAATGTAAGATTTTGATCAATGTTTGTGTAAATACATTGTTAATTGTATTTAGTGTGTAGCAACCTTTTTCTTTTCTTTTGGTCTTTGTTTATAGTAGGCAAATGCTTTAATCTGTTTCACAGTACTATGTGGTAGTACTATTATTGTTGCCTTTTACAGATGAAGAAAACATTGGGGAAATTAATTTGCTGAACCCAGTTCTCCCTGACTTCAGAGCTACACTATAGACCATTGTGAAATACTGTCTCTCTATAGTTAAATTTTTTAAAAGTTGACTCAGAATATCTGTGCTACATCAGTATTTAATTTTTTTGTTTTGTAGCTAATAGATTTAGAGCTTCCTCCACTGCTGCCCACCTCCAACTCTTAGATCTCCTGTATTTGATTAAAAAATTTTGTTGAATGTATTTTTTATTCTTTTGAAGGGGGAGAGATAATTCGGTTTTTATCTATTTTAATAGAGTACTGGGGATTGAACCCAGGACCTTGTGCATACTACACAAGAATGTGGCACACATTCTACCACTGAGCTATACCCTCTCCCCGAATTTTTTCATTAAAGTGGTTCAACTCTTTGACATGGGAAGGAGTAAGAGATTTACACTTACAACTTAACAACAGTAACTAATTCTTTTTTTTTAAGTATAATTGATTTACAATATTGTGTCAGTTTCAGGTGTACAGCAAAATGATTCAGTTATACATATATATGTATATATCCATATTCTTTTCTTTTCCGATTATTTTCCATTATAGTTTATTACAAGATAATTGAATATAGTTCCCTAACTAATCCTTTTTCAATAATGTTTGTTATAATGAAATTTTATATGTTCTTAAAATTTTCTGAAAAAGAAGCTTGTTGCTGAGAGCTCTGACTTGATACTGGATCTTTGATTGCAACAAATGTGACCATATATCAGCCATTGTTCTAGCTGCATGTTCTGTCAGATAGTGGTTCTAAGAAAGTGGCTGTCCTCCTTGAGGTCTAATTAATATATACAGTTGGAGGATGTGGTTGGTCATTCATTCACAGTATCAGACTTCCTAGGTTAGAAGTATAATACACAAAACCCAACCCCATTTAATAATCAAGTTCTACTTTACTGTATTGGTTTAGCCCCTCTGTGGTGAGGCATTCTATTCCATTAATTAGCCTCTGAATGGAGTAATTTGCAGAAGTTGAATTTGAACTTTTAACGGTTGCCCTCTCAAATTTAGTGTATCAGATTGTGGTGAACAAGTATGTATCATTAGCAGTTTGGGGACTTTTGTATCCCTTAGCCTTCTATTTCTAACTAGTATAGTTGTAATTCTTTCAATCTACCCTTATTCCTCTTGCAAAATGTTAAATATCATTAGTTAGTCTTCTTCTCTTCTCTAAGTTGCCAGGAAGATTGCATTTCTAATTTTAACTCTTACCTACTTCTAGCTCATCAAACAACATAATGAAGATGTTTTAGAGTATAAAAGAAGAAATGGGTTGGAATAAACTTTTGAAATATTGATACAGTAAGTATGCAGTTTTATAGAATGAATAGATTATGCAAGTTAATTTGACCTTTTTTTAAATAATGTGTTTTGGTTGTTTTTTCATTAAGTGTATACTTTTTAGCACCTATACTCCTGTCTGTGACAAATTTATGAATTTTTAATGCCCTGGCTCAAGGGTCTCTTAGCATAATCATTTTTAGTCATTATGCTTTGACTGTGTTCAAAGAAAGTTGTGTTTTAGAATGAAATCAAAATCATACTATTTTCCTAAATCTAACAGTGCTGTACACAGTGCCTTCATAGATAGGACAAGATATCACTGTTTGTGTATGTATTTCTTAATAACTGTTTTGTCATATACCACACTTGATCATAAAGTCCATGAGGACAGGGCATTCAGTTGAAATTTTTACTGCATGACCATTTCATTATGATTGTCACTACAACTAACACCCCTTTGGACAATTCCTGGTAAAACCTAGCTATGAACAAGATAGCATACACTGCATGGTCTATGACTTGAAACAGAGAGTGAGTTTATTTCATATGAATATGTGCACCATGTTTCTGAAGAACCCTTTTAAAGAAATCCTGTATTAATCTTTTTCTAAAATGAAAAACTCACTGTTACAAATCTCAACTTTCATGGATTATGCTGATTAAAGTAGGTAACTTATATCTGTTGGATAATAAAATAGTAATCACTGATGTACCTTTTTTTCTATCATTATCACCTTGCCCATTTCACTACTACAATCAGCCAATCAAGAGATAAAAATAAAATAGGTATTTAAGTGAAAACAGATGCTTTGGCTATACCTGTAGTTCAGATAATTTTTTTATCCCTAAAACTTAAGTAAAATGAGGGGTTGATATTCTTTGTGGACTTGTTGTCTAGACTTCCTCTGATGCTCTAAGGTGAATTATTTACAATGGTCTAATTTTAGTATTATTTCTGCTGGTTAATGCTATAGTTTTCTTTTTCTCTCTCTCTCTGTTTTGTAGGTATGTTCCATATAGGGATTATAGCAGTTCCTCTGGATTCACCAATCTGTTGAGTTGTAAACACGAGAGAAAGAGTTATATGTGGATATATGTTGTCAGCATTTGTGTTTTAAATAATTAAATTTTTGAAAACTTTCTGTATTCTTCAGATTATATATATGGTGACAATGCATAGAGTATTAATTCTAAGGTACATTATTAGAAGTATTTTAATGTGGAAGGAACCGTCTGATGATAGGGTCAGTGGTAATTAAGGATACATTGGTAAGAAAACTTACTAAGAAGATAGATTTAAAAATCACTGCTGAAGGATTTACTCTTTATATCAACTTTTAATTTCTAATTGGAACACTTATTCTGTAGCGTGCAGGGTGATAGAACTACTCCTATTCTATTATTCAAAATACAAAAAAGCTCAAATACTGTTTTCTTCTAGAGGACAAAGTAAAGATGAATCTTACTACCAGAGTTTCTTCTGACTTCATTTCCTTGAGTCTGAATGATTTTCATTTGGGTGACTGTTTTTACACCAGTTATGGCAACACAAAGTTTGTAGGCCCTTTTTGCTAATATGACTTTCATCCAATTAATAGCAAACTCCCGATTATTTTTTAAAAGGAGGAGGCAGGGTTGGTGAGAGTTAATAGATACAAATTTAGAAATACTTTATTCCTCACCAAAACCCTTTCTTGTGAATCAGTTAGAACTTACATGTCACTTCAGTAACTTATAATTTGAACACTTAGTGTACCACACATTTAACAATTCATTATTTGTATCCCCATTCTGATGTTAAGTAGAAAGTTTCATTGTTTTATTAATGGTTTTGTGTGTGTTGTGGGCTCTGGTCAATACTTTTCTGGGAGATTCATGGCCCAGATATCTTTAGGAGTCACTTCTGAACATAAATTCAGAGTTACATTATTACAGAATAAGTATTTAATCCAAATTCATTGAAAAGCTAAATATAACAGTAACTATTAACTTCTGTCAATTTGGGGTCCTAGCCAGTAGAACTGGAAAGGACCTTAGGGGTCTTATAGACCAATTTCATAATTTTACAGAGTCATTTGCCCAACATCACTGTGGAAAGTAGAATAATGGACCCTTAAATATGATCATGCCCTATTCTCTGGACTCTGTGTATATGGTAGGTTATATGGCAAAGGGAGATTAAGGTTGCAGGTAGAATTATATTTGCTAAACTGCTGAGACATGGAGATGGAGAGATTATCCTGGATTATTGGGTTGAGCCCCATGTAATCGCAAAGGTCCTTAGCAGTGAAGAGGGAGGCACCAGAGGGTGTCAGAGTGATGTGATGTGAGAAAGACTCAACTGGCCATTGCTAGTTTTGAAGATGGAAGTGGGCCAAGAGCCAAGGTATGAGAAAGTCAAAGAAATTCTCCCTTGGAGCCTCCAGAAAGGAAAACACCCTGCTGACACCTTGATTTTATCCTATTGAGACCCATGTTGGATTTAACACCTACAAAACTGCAAGATAATAAGTCTGTGTTGTTTTAAACCACTAAGTTTGTTATAGCAGCAATAGAAACTAATATTGTCACATGGTGATAGACCAAGAAGTAAGGTATCAACTCCCAATTCAAGAAACTTTACATTAAAAGAAACACTTAACAATTCACATCCCTAAAGGGAAGAGAAAACTCTAAGACACCTGAAATTCAGGACACTGATAGCCTTAGTTGGAAATAAGATACAACTTTAATAAACAGGATCTACTGCATGTCAGGCCTTGAAAATATTAGCTACCTTGTGTGGACTTTTATCTTGATTGTGCCTGTATAATTCCAGGGGGAGCCATTCAGGAAGACCAGGGCTGTCCAAAAGATCTGCCTGCAAAGATGTAAAGGTTCTGCCTGTGCTATCCGATACAGTAGCTACTACTCCCATGTGGCTATTGCACATTTTGAATGTGATTAATGTGACTGAATTTTTAATACTTCATTTTAATTAATTTAAATAGCCACGTGGGGCTAGTGGTTGCTGTATTGAACAGTACAGATGTAGATTATTCTGTGAGTAACACCTAGAGTTTTGTCACATAGTGGTGCTGGTAAAAGATACTTTATAAACTAAATATTAAAACCAAACTCAAATTATGTTGAACTGAAAAAAAAGTCATGGGGATACAGAGTGACTCACAGACTCTCATAACAGGAACGCACCTGGGCCTGGAAATAATTGGGGCCTGAAATTCAAACATCAAGGCTTTTGGCCTTGGCTCTGGTCTCTGTGTATCTATCTGCTTTATTTTCTTGGTGCACAGACCTTCTCTTCCCTAATCCACATCGTTAAAGAGAAGGCTACAGTCAGTGGTTCCGGGGTTTACATATTAGTTTAAGAGAACAGCTGTACTGAACAGGAATCATTCTGATTGTAAATTTCCAAGAGGTACTTGGTCAAATTACGGTTTCTTTAGCAATAATATAAAAGAATTTCCATAAAAAAGAAGATGCAGACAAAATCGTATGTCAAATGCCATCAAGTTTTTTATTAGAGATAAAATCAGAACTTTTTTCAGATTTAGTATCTGTGAAATAGTCATTTAAATTATGTTCTTAAATTGCCATAGCAAAAAACAAGCTATATGAACTCAGCTTCAAGTATAAGAAGTTGTTAGGGGTTGAATTTTTACCACTCAAAAGATGTGAAAGTCCTAACCCCCAGTATCTCAGGACGTAACCTTATTTGGAAATAGGGTATTTGCAGATGTAATGAGTTAAGATGAGTATACTGGAATAGGGGGCCCTTAATCCAGTATGACTGGCACACTTATAAGACAAAAAGAAACAGATACACACAGAGGAGACAGCCACGTGATGATGGAGGCAGAGGTTGGAGTGACGTGTCTGCAAGGGAGGGATTACCAGTAAACATCTAAAGCTAGAAGAGGCAAGGAGGGATTCTCACCTACGGGTTTCAGGGCAGGCATGGTCCTGCCCACACTTTGATTTCAGACTTCTAGCCTGTAGAGTGGTAAGAGAATAAATTTTGTTGTTTTAAGCCATCCAAGTGTGAGTAACTTGTTATGGTAGCCTTAGGAAAATAGTCATGTCATGTTTATTTTACCATAGAAGAGAATGTGAATAGATGGGAAGAGTACTGAGGGACCTCCAAGAACACTTAAAGAATTTACCATCTTGATTACCCTTTCCCCTTCATTTAATCTAAATACTTTAGGCCATCAAAAGGGTGGTTATCAGCACTTTATTAATTGCTTGCAAATTTGTCTTCCTAGATAGTCTTCTAAATTGTTTCACTTTATATCCATACTGATCTGTTGAAAGTTCAGGTTATGTAGCCTAGGAATTTAGTATTAAGAAAAACAAAACTATTTCTAGCTTTCTGTGGAGCCTACGAAATCATGCAGTCTTTGAAAATTGCTTTTAATTATATGGAACTTAAGCCTTGAATAAGTATGATTAATATTGCTAGCAGAGGATTCTTACAATATGTTTCAAAACTAGTATCATCTTTGTCAACAATCACAATTAGGTGGAGATCATCTTAGATAAGTCATCTCTGACCCTAGATTCTTGTTTTCCCAACAAGACCAAGAAAAATGTTAAGGATGTGCTCAAGGGCAGCGTTATAAACAACATGACTAACAGCTGGGAAACTACTGTCTGAGCGATACAGAGTCTTTTATAGCCAAGATCTACTGTTAAAATTCTCTTGGTTGGGGAGAAACTGAACTTGACAACCCACAGGCATGCTCTCTCTTGGGAACTGTCTCAGTAAGATGTGATAAGGATGAAGGGTGTAGCTCAAGTGGTAGAGCACATGCTTAGTATGCACAGGGTCCTGGGTTCAATCCCTAGTACCTCCTCCAAATATAATAAATAAATAAACCTAATTACCTCCCCTTCATAAAACAAACAAAAAAGATGTGAGAAGAGTTTGCCATCAAAATGGAAAGCCACATATCCTACAGCAGCAGTAGAGTAAGTGGCAAATTCCCTTTGATCCAAGAGGCATGAGCATTTAACTAGGATGAAAAGGGATTCAGAGATGTGGCACTGTTTATCTCACAGTTCTTGCCTCTCCTGGCTGGGATGGCCACATCCAAGAGGACGTAATCGAGTCTTCACAGGACATTACCATATGATGAGATGGTGAAATATAACGGATCCTGTCATGTGCGCACTGAAAGGCATCAGATCATTGTACGGGAGCCGTGAGCTTGGGCTTAGTCAGAATTTAGGACTGCCTCCTCCAACTAGTTGAGCATGTTTTATACCTAATGTGCTTTAGAACTTACAGAAACCCTATGAATAAAGGAATTATCCACATTTTATTCACATCAATAAATCAGACCAAGTATCTGACTCTGAAACTCAGGCTCTTAACCATAGTATTACACTACCTCAATTTTTTTTTCATGTGTAATATAAGGATAGTCAACATTCCTTCACCTACTCCTTAAGATTTGTTTAGAGGATAAAGTACAAAGATAGATGTGACAATATCTTTGGGAAACGTTTTTAAAGCCCTATATGCATGTGTGTTATTTTTGCATTGTTTAAATTAGTTGGTTTGCATTGTTTAAACCAGTTTGGCTTTAACCAAAGCTCTTAGACTACATTATCATTGGTGTCTGGTCAGAGATTTCTTTGTGATCATTGACCCCATTGATGGTAGCCCAACACTCCTCCTGAGAAAAGATGATGGTTCCATGTCTCTTTAACCTGAAAATATAACCTCTAGGAGTGGTAGCAAAAATCATATCTAGTTCATTGAAGCAAGCCCTGGAACAGTAATCATAGATACTTGATAAATACTTGTGAAATAAATTATAACCAGTCCCTAGCATCTAGCATGATCCCTAGCATATTATAGGCATTTGACAGATACTTACAGACAGTTTGACTGACTGATACTAAGTGGCTGCTGTGGAACCTGGGGATGACCCAGAAGAGCTCAGACCAAACCCAGATCCAGAGTCTACATTGGAATTCTTAGAGGAGTCCAGAGCAGTGATCTAGGAGTTTTTACAAATGTTCATTATCATTTACAAATGTTTACTTAGAAAGAATCCTTTTTCTAGGAGCTTCCAGCACATTAAATGAGTGTAATGGATGCATTAATTCAATTCATTTAAATGCACTTACTGCCTTTGACCATTCCCTCTCCCTGGCAAACAAGTCAAAATTCAGCCCTAAGAATACCAAGGAAAGGATGAGCCATAGTGGTAGACAGATTTGTTTTCTTTTTTAATTTTAAATTGAGCAGTGCCAAATTGGAAGTGGTTAGGAGCTCTCCTGACAGATTTGATTTGATTTGTCAATCTGTCCTAACTGCTAGATGTTCACTAAACAGTCTACACCACCAGTGAGATAGGTAATCACTAGTTGCAGGACGATGTATACTCAATGCTGGTCAAAGGCAGCAAGTGTGCTAACCTATATTTTGTTGCTTTCAGGACTACCTAACTTCTTGGTGGAGGGTCTGGGTCTGTCCCCTTCTTTGGGGCTTAGAAGTCTAAATTTGACCTCTCATTACCTACAGATGACCTAATTGCTCTTAAGGTTTAATCACTAGGAATAGCTAGTTACTCTAAGCATCAAAAAGCCAGTTCTGACCATTGGCTTGTACTCGTTAAATGAGACTATGTTAAATATCACAAGAATTGGTTCAGAACTGAAGCCTTTGAGGGATGTTTAGTTATTCACGTGGCAAATGAGCAAATATTTTGCCTGTAACATGCCAAGAGAACTTGGAATTAGAAGAACTATGTTCATGTTCTTTAAAAAAAAAAATCATGACCATCAGTCCCTGAACATTCCTCTCCACCACCTGTCGTTTGCTAAACGGAATAAATGCCACTTCCCTCAGAGGGCTGAAGTGAAAATTAAAGGAGAAAATTTGTGCAAAAGTACTTTGTAAACTGTCAAATGCCAAGCACACATAAGGGACTGTTACAGTAGCAAACAGTCCCTTCCAAAGATTAATCATTTAGAAAATGTTATAAATATAAATTATTGGTTTCCATACTCAAGCAAAGACAAATTCTTGTAGCCACAATGAGGCAAGTAATTGAAATCTGGAGGGAAAAACTAATAATTTAGCGTTTTTAGTTGATTTGGAAGTACTAGTTTCACATCCCATAGAGGAATATACAGCATTTTTGGAGTTTCAAAAGCCAAAAGCCAAAAGCCAAAAGCCATTGTAGCAGTCAATTGCCTAGACATTCAATCATTACCTGGGAGTTCCCTTATGATTCTGAACATCACCCAGAGCAACAATGGAAGGCTAAGGCTACCCCTCTCCTTGTTTCATCTCCAGGAAACTTCTAGCTATCCTTTCCACACCTAGGAAACCTTAACGGTGTGCGTGAGATAAAGTGAGTGCAGATTTCATACGGCGTGATAAACCATGTCTGCAAGTCCTGAAACATTTCCAGCCCGCTCTGAGGAGTTCCACTAAGTGGAACAGTACAGAGCAGGCAGGTGACGGGGTCGTCTTGGTTCCTCATCCCTTTACTGAGATGCCGCCATCAGCTTCTTGGATCACGCAGAAATCAACAAGAGTCTAGAGATTGGGTTGTGGGAGAATGGTGGGGACGACCAACCCCTACGCATGTCCCCGGGAACGCCCGGACGGGGCGGGCAGGGGTCGGCGCCCCTCCCCGGGGCGGGGCTCGCCCGGACTCCCGTCACCCCGCAGCCGGCGCGGGGTTACAGAGGCTGCTGCGCGGCGGGCAGCTGGCACGATGTATCTCCGCAGAGCGGTCTCCAAGACCCTAGCGCTGCCTCTAAGGGCACCCCCAGGCTCTGCGCCGCTCCGGAAGGATGGTGAGTGTCAGGCGCGGGTCCGGGAGCCTCTCCCGGCGTCCAAACCTGAGGAGGGAGGACAGGTGCCTCGCGCGCGGATTGCATGGGCGCCCTGGAACCCGCCTGCCCTTAGTGGGCCAAACTCAACCCCGGGCAGCAGAGACCTGAGATTGGGAATGCGTGGAGAAATCGGGGAGAGTGGCCAGGAAGGCGCCCGAAATTCCTGGAGACTTTGAAAGTAGGGAACCTTTCCAGCGCAGCTTTTGAATCCGGACTAAACTTCCTGGGTTCGAATCTTGATCTTGGGGAAGAAATTTAACCTCAGGTGCTCATCTGTAAAATGAGGACAATAATAGTTGTGAGTTTTAGGGAATTAACATGTAGTTAAAAGCGCTTAGAAAAATGCCTGACTAACTGTAGCCGTAGTTTACCACTTATGTTAATATAAGGACCAATGCGCTCTCCAGCTTCAAGAGGAAGATGGCCACTGATCTGAGGGCCAGGCAGGACGCGGGAGGCAGTGCTGGCCCCGCAGAAGTTGAGAAAATGCTCTTAAGTAAATAAACTCAAGACTTGGCGAGGGCTCGGCAGCCACAAGCCTGCGCCGTAGCATCCCTGGTGAGGAAACGGCCTTCGAAGCACTTTCCTTAGGAGCTGCAGAGAGATCTGGAGCTGTCCATCCGTTTGGCTGCGTCTCCCATGCATTTAGATCTTCTAATGCACGCGAAAAGGGAGCGTATTTCCTAAAGGGGAAGTGGCAGTGCGAGCTGGAAGCTTATTAAATAAAAACTGACGTGTACGCAAGTGCCTAGCGTAGGGTCTGGGACATTACAGGTGCTTCAGTGTGGGCATAAGAGCGTTTTTCCTGTCAGCAGCCCGCCGCCCTGCGCCCAGATTTGCGCTCCGGTTCAGTTCTGCCCCAGCCGGCTCTTTCCTAGTCCTCATCCATCTCCCCTCTCTTTTCAGTCTCTAATTGGGGTGGCAGATCTTAGACAACCTCCTAGAAAGTTCTTAGTTCTCCCTTCACGTCGCCTCACTTCCTAAGACTTGTGAGGTAGCTTTAGCCCAGCTCGTGCGTTTGAGCCGGGAAGAGAGGCTCCTGCGGAAAATTCCATGGCCGGTTTTTTTGTTTGTTTTTTCACTTTGATTAAGCCTGTGGTGGTGGGAAGGAAGGGAGGTATGTCCAACTAGCTTTATCTTTCTCTTAAAATGCTCCTGGGAAGAAGTTGACTCCAGCAACAGAAATAAGGAGTCTTCGTTCTCCTTGATATTTATACCGAGTAAGATAGAGCAGAGTTTTCACTGGTAAAATAGGGGGAAGCCATTCATTTGAAACTTACGAAGATAACGGGGCTGTTGTAATTGGGGGTGGAGTGGGGAGAAAGATGAGCCCCCTGACCGTGGCCTTTCGCGCTGTGTGACCGCCACCCACACTGTCCTCATGCACAAACATACACATCTTTTTTGTTTTTTTCTAGCTGCACGTTTCAGATAATTTCCTCTCAGCTTGTGGCAAAAAAAAGTAGTTTAAAAATTCTAAATAGGTAGTTAGCAACACTGGTTGTAGCAGTAGTGATCTTTTGCTCATTTTCATCTAATTGTTTGTAGTACTGATTTATATATGTATTTTCAGGACTACTATTGCCTGGAACTTTGGACATTAACCTTTTATTGGTACTTCCTACTTTGACGAAAAATGAAATTGTTTCCGTTTTATTGAAGGATAAAATTTTAACTGTGCTCATCAAATTTTGTTCTTTGGGTTTTGCTTTTAAAAATGTGAAATGTTAATGAATAAATAAATTAGATTTATAATAGATCACCAGAAAAAAACACAGAAATGCAAAATAGAAGTCGCCTATAATCCTACCACTTAGTAAACACCACTATTCACATTTTAGTATACATAGTGTTCCAGACCTCTTTTCTCCTTTCCTGCATTTTTTTCTTATGTACATTCCACATATCTGAGATAGTCCTGTATAGACTATTTTGCTATAACTTTTCATTTACATTTACTGTATTGTAAATATTTTCTTGTGTATTTTTCTGCAAAAATTAAAATATCTATTTGTTTCACATTTATGAATATGCTAAAATTTGTCTAATTAGTCTTTACTGAATATTTATTTCCCATTGCATTTCTCTTATATAACTTTGCCATAACTGTGTTTTGTTTGTCTTTACTTAAGTCTCTGATAGCTTTATTTCTTCCTATTAAAAAAAAACTTTTTGATATTTATGCCTAGTTGCCAACTATGAAAGCTATATATTCTCTATTTAATAACAGATGTATTTTTAAACCAACAAAAACCCCACTACAAGTCAAAGCTGTAAACCTTTTATAGCCTCTCCGGGACACATTTGTAGGAAAAAAAAAATAGTTTTTCTAAGAGATGGTCATTTATCGCCAAACTAAGAACATATATACAAAAATCTTTCCAATTTTGCTACTACAGAGATTTGTAGCTAATGCAAATGTCTTAAGATTTGCCCTCTGTAAATCATAACCTCCTCCTGGTCCCTACACCCCTGTTCTCTAGGGCAGGCCACATCAAATTACTTTCCATTTTCCAAATCACACATCTCATGCTTTTTGCACATGCTATGCCTTCTGCCTCCAGTGCAATTTTCCCTTCCCTTATTTATCTGACAGACTCCTCCTTTCCTTCAAAACTCAGGTCATGTCTTTTCCTTCTTTCTTTTTTTTTTTTTGTATAATAAATTTTTATTGAAGTATAGTCAGTTTACAATGTTATGACAATTTCCAGTGCACAGCACAGTGCCTCGGTCACATGT